GTAGTTGTATACAATTCAAGACAGAGTGCAGCATTGAAGATAACATGAGTGAAGTCAAGAAACCACATTTTATAAATATTACATTTATGTCTCTTATCTCTACTTGTAAACAATAAACTGTCAATAATTTATTGTTTTATATAAATATAACAGTTAATTAAATATGCTTTGTCCAGCAATTATTGTACATCAGAAGGCTTTTATTTTCTGTAGGCATAGTATTTTAGAACTGCTAAATTTTTAAAAATAACAATTGCATAACAATAGCAAATATGGTCTTTGTCTGCTATTTCAATTAAACTAGAAGAAATTTAAGAAAACACAGAATTTTGGCATTATTTTATGTAAATTGTGAGATCATTAAATTACTAAGACTGTTTCAAACTATTTCATCAGACAATTCCACATTTGAAATTGAAAAAAGTTAGGAATAACATAGTTCTTATATTTTTATAAAAATCCATATTTAGACCTCTAAATTACAAATACTAATTAATCATTGGAAGAATTACATAATATTATTTACATTACATTAAATATATGCTACTTACCACAATTTTTTACAATGCTCTCTAATGTGAGGAGAGCAAACATAGCTTGGTGAGGATTCTGGGAGTAAAGTTTCTTTTTGACAGCAGCAACTGCATATTTAGGGCTGCAAATTGTTTAATTTGATAAGCACACAAATAAATCTCCATGATTTTGTTACTTTAATATACAAAATTTCACATAAAATCCACTTAGATAGATAAAACTGTACTCACGAACAATCATTTTGTCTAATTAAGTCGCAAATTTGCAATATTGTTGGCCAATCGGGCTCCAGGCGTAGATTACTAGTTGCTTTATCTAGAACATAATGAAAGCTATAAAATGACGTAAGCGTAGGAAAGTTAAGGTTTTAAGCTAAATAGGAAAATTGAGTATTAATTAAAAATAATAGTAGGTCAAGAAAGATTTAGAGAAAAGAAAGTGTAGTATAGAAGGAAAATATGTAAAATGAAGAGATTGATAATGACGGTTTATTGCATACACAATTTGGACATTTATAAACTAACTTACCGAGAAATTTATCAAAAACATTCACCCGAAACATCTTTTTGTTGTGTATTTACCAATTACACTATTGTTTTAGAAAATCAACTGTGATGAATCGTTCGATAGACAGAAAATGACAGCTCACTATGTCAATTTTGTTATTCCTATTTTAACATTGGCAATTGTGAACGTCCTTTAAATGGAAAAGTAAAGATACAACAACATTAAAAAATAATTAAACGGATATTTTTGCACTTTGATCATTAATTTAATATACAATTAAATTGTTTTCAATGAGAGTAAAGAGAACTGCTTGTTACCAGACAGAAAATTTTATTGATTGGCAACACAAGCGCTATAAAGATTAAAAATATGAAACTGTTTTATCGACAATGGTTTTCAGTTAGGATTTCAGGGTTTTCATTCCACCATCCACCACCTCGCTTCGGGCCAAAGAATCGGCCGCGACCATGTATTCAAAATCAAATCTCTATACCTATTTTCAATAAACCAAGGATAGGGGCATGCCTCAATAATAAGAAACTACCCCAAACACAAGCACATCGTCGTTTGTTGGTAAAATACCACAATGTTATAAAAAATCAGTATGCCCACAATCGTAATTTTTGATCATAAACTAAAAAGATTTTGTAGGTAACATAATAGTAGTGATGTTTCATTCCTTTAGGTTGTGGAGAGTATCAGGGCGATTTAAATCATATGAAATCTATCTATAGGTTTTTTTTTTTCTAATAAATTACTTTAATACATGCCTCATAATTCACTGATAGTAACATGTACACATGTTATCGCAGATGTTTGTACGAAGATATCACTAAACTTATCATTAATATATGACAAATTCGTTCCAAATTTGTTTTTGCTAAGTAAAATATTAGTTTTAATTTAGTTACTAGAGAGATTTCAAGTGTCAGTACAATGTGTTTCGTAAAAATATAAACTAGGTAGTTACATAAAATACGAAAGAAAAATGTGTGACATAAATCTGCTCAAAAAGTGCTTAGAAATAAATAGAAGACAACTTTCACAGTTAAATCATGGACTACAAGTTTGTAACCAACTATTAAACGTAATTAAATTCAAAGTAGGGGCATTACAAATACAAATATTTGCGACGAGGATAATGTACCAGGACATCATGGAGTTGCGGGAGCTAATTTTAATTGTACATCCCCATCTAAAGCAAATAACGCTAAAGGAATAATTAGGTATTGTTAAAAAATAACTAAAACAAAATGTTAAAAAATAAATGTAGTTAAATATTACAAATTAAAAAGTGTCTAAGTAACGAATACATGGATGTAGGGTGTAAGCGCCTTACGTATTTCTCCTTGGATCCACTAAGGGAGCCAGAAGTTAAAGTTAGCCGTGCTAGCTTAAACATAGAGACTTCAAATACCGGAGTACCGGAATTTTTGAGTTATATCAATACATATTATACAAAAATGTTATAATAATATTAGTATAAATATAGATAGAGTAACGAAGGTGTGATATAACATTCTTAGTATGAATATTCAATAAGTTGTGTGTTTAACTTTAAGTAAGTTTTATTATTACTTTGTTCACGTAACATTGCAAATTGCTAATAGCTTTCGCTTGTTATTTCCAGCAGTTTCCCGACAGTACCGCTGCCACCATTCCACAAATCATAGCGGGATGCACATGAGGTCGTTTGACGGATAGAGCAGCGGCCATGACAGTCGAAAGAGCAACATCACGAACGGGGAGCGTAATTTGATAATCGCCGTGCACTTGACTGCGACACATCGCTGACAGTCCATCTGTCATGTTGATTGACCCGGCGCGCGAAGGACAACGGCCGCGGCCGCTGTTGTCGAATCAACCACTTACTTCCTCACCTTCGTATCAGCGAACTCAATAAATATGTGAGGATATTATCTAGAGCTTTATTATTTTTCCCAGTTTTTCTTTGACTTCTTTCACTTTCGTTTACTTTTGCTAAGTCTAAGCACCTGGATTAATTACAGTGGTGAGTCTTCTAGCGTCAACAAACAAGTAAAAAAAAAGAAGTATCAAAGTTCACATTCAGAATAATCAGACATAACTTACGGTTTAAAAAGATAATAAGTAAGTGTTAGTTTCTGTGATTCATTGTTGACGAATAAGGTAAATGAAAGAAGGTTGTACGCCGAAAAGGTTCCACCTTCGCCGTGACCTTTCACTTACTACCAATTTACCACATTTTCCTTATATTTAATGTTATTCGTAGTATGCTTATCTCCTTTAGCATAGCGGTATGGCACTACTATGTTACCTTGATTGCCAAACAATGGCCCGAGTAGAGAAGCCTTGGTAAGCAATTGTCTTCTTCTATTGTTGGTCGATTTCAGACCCTTCCTATGCTCGAAATAGACATTAAACAAGAGTATAAAAATATGCAGAGCTTATTAAACTTTTATTCAAAAATATTACAAATAACTGTAGTTATAATAAGTTTGGTTTATTTTTACCTTTATGTACGTACCATATAATCGACAATAGAGAAAAAGACGCCTTACTTACTTTAATAGAAAATTAAGAATATTTTGTCCAATTTAATTTGACCTACAAATGGTTATATAAATGGAAACAGATAGATCTTGTTAATAGTTCAAATGAATTATTACTTTTACGAACATAACAAATACAAGTAATAAGTTATAGACGAAATTTGACGGGCAATTAGAGAGTCGGACTATGATGTAAGAACTGTGTCACGTGTTTAAGTCGTTTTTATGAAAAAGCGATGGTTTAAGAAAAAGAGTTTGCTTTGTAACTTCTCTTTGTCCAGATTGGCTACGTATTAGCAATTGCTGTAAATATTTAAGGGAAGCAGTCAATATAGCATATTTGACGTTGATTACATGCATCATTACTTTACTAAGGTTTTATTTGTAGAGTAAGAAAAAATGAATCTCCACATGCAAATACTACAATTTAAGTTCATGCCTATTTTGGCAACTAATTATCTACATAAGGAAGGAAAATTTCGATCGACCTTTCCATCGAAATTTTGAATACTAATAAACGACATTGCTCTTGAGAATCGATCGTACCGACCGAGATGTAGGACATATATCGATGTCTCAAGTATTTGAACAAACACCCTCCGAGCCTCGTCAATGTATTCAAATAAGCATTCACGCGTTGCAAGATGCATATGCCAAAGCGGACATTTAAATCTTATCTGCAGGCCAGCAAATACAGTCAATTGTTTCCGAACGCGTGGCTAGTTAACAAATAAACGCGGTTTACAATTGGAGTAGGTATAGAATGCGCAAGAGTTGCTTCGCATATTGCCAGTCCACGCTATCCTAGCGGTCAGGTCACACACGCTTAGGGCTCGTGTCTTCCCTTATGATAAAAACGCGCGGGAATACAAGAGTTGTTTATAGTCTTTGAATATCTATTTTTCAATCGAGACTATCGAATAGGAGTTACGATGTTCGACAACACTGCTACTCGGTTTAGATCTTTATGTGACAAGTAAATAAAGTTCACACAAAATGCAGTCCTGAACGGTCATGGTAAGTAATTCCTGTTGTGTATAATGACTTAATGCGGCTCATCATTTTCAATAACATTATTTATTTTATCCTATTGTTCAGATCCTTTCAATTATATAGATTATTAAATTATATGAAATGCTCTTATTTTTTCCAAGAGTTTATCTTATTTCAACTGGTACGTTTAAAAATAAATCTGTTTACAAACATGTTATTGTGAATGATATATGTATCGATAATGTATTGAATTTGCATGAAATATAGTACTTTTCACGGAGTGATTTTATGCAAATTTTGCAGCTATTCAGGATGCTGTTATAACGAGACATGCGACTAAGTTTTGAAAAGTAACAAAAATTTTTGAGGTTGGTCGATTTTTATGAGATAATGATAAACGAACTTTCTCATATATATTAATAATCACGTAAAGCGACGAATACTGCTAATGCAGTTTAGTTTCATGCTGCAATAAAATTTAAGGTTATAACAGATCAGCGTTTTGATTAACGACATTTTACACCCGAGTTTTTGTGGTGTGCTTCTCGTGGTTCAAGGTAATATTGAAATCTATTAGCTGTTATAGGATATAAACCTAGTATAAAAGCAATTCATAGTATTATGAAAAGTCGGTATTATCCTTGCACTTGTTGACTCACAACTTTAATAGGTCGTGGGATGTTTGCTTTAAGTAACACTTTTGAAACGTTGCTATAATACTAATGTTTCGGATATAAACTTTGATTATAAGAGAAGACATATTTCATTAAAAATCAATAGTATTTTACTCAGAAAAAATGGGACAAACACCAGACCAAGGGCGAGATTTTTACGGCGCCCTGGGCAGTTGCTCAACCGCGCTCTTACGTCCCTAACGGCGACCCGAACGTCAGTACAGCTAAGGGCCCTTATCTTACCTTAGTAGTTATTGTCTTTGAATGCGAAAATTAGATTGCTACTTAAATATTATTAGTTTTTGACCGACTTCCCAAAAGAAGGATTCATTTATATGTTTTATTTTATTTTATTTTTTTATGTGTGTTACGGCATAACTCCGCCGCTAGTGGACCGATTTTGATAATTCTTTTTTGATCCGAAAGGTAATGCTTGCAGGTGGGTCCCATTTTTTTGTTTGATTTTTGGAGTCTAAGACGTAGTTAAAAAGTTTTTAACTTAGAATATCCTTGCCTCGAGTCTCACAGTTAAAGCGGAAGTCTAGTTAAAGAGTCGCTGTTTAAACAATTGCTTATAGTCTATATTAACATTATAATGAAGAAAGATTTGTATTTTTGTATATATTGTAATAACTTAAAAACTACTGGGTCGATTTAAAAAAGTCTTTCACCATTAAAAGCTACGTAATCAGTAAATAATATAGGCTATATTTTTATTTCACATAAACGAAGTCGCGAACAACAGCTTTACTATATAAACACGTGTAGCTATAAAAGTAGCAGCAATCTGCGCATCCATTCATAACCGCCAGCGAGTGGGCCCACGGACTCCCAAAATAGTCGCTTCCTGCTGATACTCGCAATTGGTTCTAGCAATAAATTTGGTTCCTAGGACATGTTATATTCGTTGTCTGCTGGGGTGCTTCAATACTCACGCTTGTTGTACGAGTTTGAGACAGTAATATGAATTATGCGCTCAGAAAACTTTTATCACAAGCCCATTTATGATGTACTTTCGCCCGCGACTCCGTCCGTGTGGGATCAAAAAAACAAAAGTGTGTGTTATATGTTCTCCCAGACTGTCCTCTACATCTACAAAATTTCATCGAAATCCGTTTAGAATACAAGCTCTAACCAACATCCATCTATCCATCTAAACTTTAGCATTTATAAAACGAATATTAGTAGAATTAGCGTGATTAAACAGATTATTTTTTGTGCAATGATTTAGATTCGATTACAACACCGTTTATTGAAATATCCCACGCTTAACCACCAGACCATTACGTCCTATTTAAAGGGCGAAGTAAATAGAACATTTTTGTTAATTGTAAATATACCTTTTCTCTATAACACGTTTAGTCATAATGTCACAACTTCCTGTGTTATGATTTCATATCAAAAGGATTTATATCACAAAGCACACGGTTTTGCAAACAGATTTTATATTCTCGTGTACGTTGATTGGACAAATGGTACATTTTAGACTTGGGTTTTGAATCGGTCTTCGTCGTCATTTTCAATCGGTGAGACACTTTTATTAAATACATGTTATTTTCTCTTCAAGTCAATATGAATATTTGCGTATAATTCTTTGTATAAATAATGCCAAACTGAATGTATTTTGGAACACGTGGACGTAAAGTCATTAATTGCTGGAGAGACACGGTAATTGAGATTGGCCTTCGCTATTAGTTCTAGACGGCAAAATGACAGACGTGCGTATGCGTGCTATCTCGCGACTGAGTACGTCACCGCGCCACTTAATTACTGAATACTTATAGCTGCCATACATGGACTGCTTTAGGCACTCGGTATAGTACTATCCATATTTTATGTCGGCTCGTAAGTTCATCTACATGCTGTAAACGCAGATTTCGGTCTCGAAGGCATGCAAAGGAATACTTGGCTGAGTATTACGCTGCTTGTGGTTTTTACTATCTGCTGTAGTAGGTTCAAATTGCATATACTACAAACACATACGCTTGCATTTAAACTCTAGCTGTCATTAGGTTTGAATATTGTAATACTGCCAGTTTTAAGCAGCAGTTGACGTATTCTTAAAAAGGTATGATGTGACACTGAATGGCGCCTCTGTACGTGCTAAACTTATATTGAAATAAATTAACAATAATGATAATTCTGATCATAAGCGGGTCACCTGAACTTATTACCATAGATGTAAAAGGTTTTAATAACATGGTTGTTAAATGTTTATGTTCGTAAAAAATATACTTGAAAACATTTGTTTATTGGTAGATTGGTAGGCAATATCGATCGGAGCAACATTAACAAAAGAAAGACGGTAGTTTAATAACACCAACATTGCAACGTCAGTTAATTTAGTCCTGTAATAATCAGGAATACTGTATAATACTCGCATGTTATAAACTGTAGACAAATAATGGCCATAAAATTCGTATAAGAATAATTTTTATATACCTACCCCTAAATTTAAAAATAACAGTATACTTTCTACGTTGAATTGACAATATGACCATAACGATTTTGTTGAGTGACGTTTACCGGCATCCTTTACACTAATGTGTATGAGGCTAGAGCTTCCATGTTTCCGCAATATGTCAGAATAATCCCAGTGGGAGGAAATAAAGACATCCGCTGTTAGCCTGCGTATGGAGATGGAGCACATCCTAATGAGTGCAAGGACGTTGCGTGTCAGAACCGGAACGACGCTCGATGATCATCATTTACAAGAAAAATCGCTTCTTAACCGCTGTTGACGGTAGCGCGCTACGAGACACAAACCTAGTTGAGAAATATTACAATAACTTCCGGTAGATGGAGTGACGTGTCTTATATCTTACTAATATTCTATCTACAAATGTTTTTATATTACAATAAAAGCAACATTGCCATTTATTTATCATTCTTGTTATTTGTGATATTTAATTAATTAATTATAGAAATAGTAAGATAATTCAAGAAACAAAATCGTTTTAAGTCTACTCGACGAAAGATGGCAGTGTAATAGTTTTCCAATAGACAAAGTCAACTGGTATAACATTTATTTTAATTTAACCTTAATGTTATTTTGATTTTGAACTTTCTTATTGTATAAAAAATGAATTTAACTATAATTTATTTTGTACTTACAGGTACTGTTCAACACAAAATAAAGAAAAATTCTTTTACCTTATTCAAAATGACACTCTACATCTCTGTAAATAGTGGAAATGTAACAGAGATGAAAACGGTTCTATCAAAGGCAAGTGCAATATCGTGACAAGAGATAGAGTCAAAAATGACTACAGAACTCTCTTACGAAATGCAAGAGCGGCAAAATGGAGAAAAGGAGGTTAAAGGAAAACTGGCGACTGGAAAATTATTTTACAAGCCAGGTGTTATTGAAGAGGAAACGGATGAAACGAGTGCCTTTGAGAGTTCGATGGTGGAATCTCCAATGATAGGACCTGGATGTGGAAGCAGTTTCTTACGACCTCCTCAGATCCATCCATCGAGCAGTCTTCACCGGATACCAACGTACAGCAGTTCGATAGGTCAGAGCACAATCTATCGTCAAGATACTTGCAGGTACATTTGCTTTCTTAATTAAAGACTTAACTTTTTAATATTATTTATTTTGAGATCTTTTAACTGGAACGAAATTAAGGAGTAATTCTAAGGGTTGGCATGGAGAGGGAGTTTTTACAACATCTCTATCTCTTTAAATGTACTTCTTCGTTACATACATTTTCTTTCACACAATTCATCTAAACTATCTATTATTGACTTCAAATAGATAATTTAGGTAATTTGAGTCCGAAACTATTATGTTAAAATTTTAATTTAATTGAACAATGAAATCCAATTAATTGATGAAATCTTTGATTTTGTGATTGTTTAAAAATTAATTTTCAATACTACGAGTATTTGTGATTCACAATCCTTGAGGTAGTCGATATCTAATCAGCGATGAAGAAATGTTGATAGTAGTTGACTTATCTAAATAGTTTACTTGAAATTATTCGCAATAGTGGTTTCATGTGAGCAATAAATAAACTCGTGTTTTCTGTTGTCTTAAGAATTGAGGTTAACTGTGTCATATATTTTGTCGGTGTTGTTATTGGTGTTGCCTGAGGATGTGTGAAAAGTGTCTAAAAATGCGACGCAGGCGCAAATAGTGACGATAAGACAGACATTATCTTATTTACCGAGTTTGTTCTAGTTTTGTTTGAAATAGTCATCAGTGTGACAAGGTATTACAAAGGATTCTTTATCTAAGATATGTAGGGTCCTAGGAAAAATATTGACAATATAACGTTTTCTTTCAATGGAAAATTGACGTGAAATATTTAATTTTAAGTTAACAATTCATGATTGCATTATTTAATAGAACGTGTTTGGTGTCGTTGAAAAGGTCGATGGATGTTGTGCAAGGAACAACATTGAAAATTGTTTTTTTTTCATGGTAAAGTAAAGTTCTTTACAAGAATTATTTCTATATTAAATTTTACATTAAGGTATGTAAGCGATTTGAAACTTTAATGATGTCCGCGTAGTAACTTTTTTATGCACATTAATTTAATTTCTATGGTCACATTGGAAGAACGACTCGTTAGATAAATTACAGTTTTTTTGTTGCTTACTCTAAATACTTACGTGATAATACTACTGTTCAATTTTGAAGTACTATTGGAGAAGAAAACCTCTCGATGCGTCTTTGTTATAAGCTAATAGTTGGTCGTTTAGTACAACGTTATTGACTCAGTGTATATAAGTACAAGGATATATTCCAATTCGTTCATAAGTTAAACGAGTTATTAGAGAAAAAAGTAGTAAGTTCTAGTAACTTCCATTATATCAGTTTTATAAATCTTGGATTGTCTTATTCTATATACGTGATAGCAAATCTAAGCAAAGGATTAACTTTATCTCTGAAACTTTATGCTTTGGCAATAATCATAACTGTACTCGCCTATCGCCTGCATACCGATCTAAAAACAAAAAAAAACAAGTTTTTACTATCATTATTTAATTTATGTCATCGTGACGGCTTTCAAGAGTGTATGGGTACTTACAAAACTTGCATTTACCATCTTTAGACCATAACACCGCTTGACAGGGTCGGACCAAGCACTAGTTTACATAAAAAAAAGTTTCATATTCTTAATCAATATTCTTGGGTTTTAACTCACGTGAAGATCAGAATTAAAAGTAAACAAGGTATTTCGTATGTTATCTTACTGCTATAAATCTGTTAACTGTCACAAAGCTAGTGTGCCCGAGATTTGCATGACTCTTAATTGTAAAAGAAAATATTGATAAAGATTTAGCAATAATACTTAACATAAACTTAAGTGTAAATTAAATCTTAATTAAAATTTATCTTTCATATGTAGACAAATAAATGACTGAAAACATGATTTAATAATTAATAGACAAAGAAAATATATATTTTATTTGAAATCTTCAATTTCTCTTTATTATAAATACGCCTGGGACAAATATATACCTCATTTCTTCTCCTCAAAATATGCTTCAAATATAACCTCGTCTACTGTATTTTATTTTCACTAACGTCATACTCCAAGGTTCACAAATATGTTTGTTCTCGATTCTCCTAAGCTGTGTACAGGATACCTTAATCTACTAAAATCCATGAAAATCTCTAAACAACTGATACGTGTCTAGATAATGATGATTAATCACGACTTAACCTTTCCTTTCCACTCCGCGACTAAACGTATCTCTTTAGATAAAATATAATTCAACCACAATAAAACACAAATTAAACATTATAATTTATGTTATGGCAGATGTAAAGAAAACTAATCTTATGAATTAAGATAATAAAAGTAATTATTTCATAATTTTCTGACATAACGACGTGTTTATTGCATGATTTGTAAAAATACATCTGCAATGTTCAAATGTTTTTGCCCCATGGACATACCGTTCTGTAATGACTAGACTATGGGTGGCGAACATTTATGCATCAAGGAGCCATTTTTTGAAGAAATGTTTAATCCGGTCTTAGACGTACCATCGAATAATTTTATCTGCGATTATTATACAATTCCATTGTGCAGCTATTTGTTGATTTTTACGTTATTATGATTATCGACGTGCCAAAAAATATTAAGTCGTGTACTATTTATGGGAAGCGTGCATTGCCACTCCTAGACTAGACCCTCTGTTTAGCTAACTAGGTCTTTCTAGTGTTATATATCCGATTGATTTTGTACAGAATAGTTTATTGAATTTTAAAATTAATAAATATCTTTGTTATATTTATTATCCAACAGAAATTAATTTCGTATTATGAAATTGCTGCGTTACGTTTTTTCTTTATATTATCTGTTGTCGAGTTTTGCAGGCACGTGGTATGTTGGTCAGAGTCGCGGCAGCACAATAAACAATTGACGTCTATAACTGCACTCATTTACGGCCTTTGTCTCGTCT